AAAGTTTCATATGTGTCTGGATCTCCATTTTTCTTGGATCCATTTTGGAATCCTATGCAGATTTTGTTGGGATTTTCTGTCAATATAAAATAGGAATATATTTATTAATATTAAATTGGATTTTTCATTGGGAGATTAAAGGAAAAGCCACATGGGGTATGATGCAATGTTGGATTGCATGCATGGTTGGCATAATAAATGGCTATATGGATCATTTTTGACACGACAGATGCATCTTTACATGGTAATGATCTTTGGGACATGCAAAGACTTGATGTTGGTTTTATACCATTGGTGGCATCAATACACAGCTTGTTTAGGCAGATTGCATGGAGCACTGAAAATAACAGTTGTATATGGGTGAAAGAGAATGGTGGGGAAAATGTGTAATAGAGTTGTATATGGACGAGAGAAAAATACAGCAACACCGGGATGAGCAATGGCTCAACTACCTTGACATAGGGTTCGGGTAGTGGTGTGTGTTTTGCGTATTTTGGCCATCTCACATGTACTCTCTATTCTATGTTTATAGTGGATTAACCTCTCTCTCTCGTGGATGTAGGCATTTGGGCCAAACCACGTTAAATATTGTGTGTTTCTTTTGTGTGTGCATATTTTTATTGGGGGATTTATTCCCAACAGATTTTAAACGTATAAAACATATAGGAAAGCTTGCACTTCATTTACTTCAATTATTTATTGTTATTTATATGTATGCCTATCTAATAAATTGATGCCTATACACGCAAAAGGGCAATTAGATGAACACACTTTTGCAGTTTGCTTGCTTTGAATGCCTGTATAGAAATACCCAAAAAAAAACAAGAAAAAGAAAAAGAAAAAGCGTGTACACCCATACAGGGAATGCTATTTCTATCATGTTTTCTATACTCAATGTGACAATTTCCCAAATACTAACATCTGTTCTTCTCTTTGACAGCCGATGCGCTTGTCTCAACTGGTTTGGCCGATTTAGGCTATGTTTATGTAAACATAGGTATTCTTTCGCATGATTTATCTATTTGATTCTCCCTCACAACTTGGTTTATGTTTCATACTAACCAAATTTCTTAAGAAATGCAGATGATTGTTGGTCAGCTCTAAAACGAAATTCAGAGGTCAATTTTTGTCCTATCACATTTATGTTATGGTTTGTTTCCAACATTATAGTACCGGATCAATAGTAGAATGTGCCAGCTACCTTTGCTGTAAAGTCTCTTGGTGGGTAATGTGCCAGCTACTATAGAGTTGAGAAGGATTGAATCCCACCTTTATTCCCCATTGGGGGATAATGTGCAACCCATAACCATTGGACCAAATAACGAAGAGCAAAATATACAAACAAAGAATTTGTACAAAATTTTTATACAAAATGATATGGCTCAATGTGGACTTTTTACTTTTAAACAAAACACTCATTAAGATAACTTTTATTTACAAAACTGACATTGCCATATCATTCTTGTGGTTTTTTTTAATAGTGTTATCCAAAAGCAAATTAAACAATGGTATACCTTGTGGTCTATTAGGAAAACATCTTCTTTCTCTCGGTAGGACATTGTAATGTACTAATGTTTGCTTTCCTTGAGTAGCTTTTTTTCCAAGTAAACTTACTGAAATTGTTATGGAGGGCATATGCTTATTAATATAAAGATATTGGTTGTTGTTAAAAAATACTGTATTATTGATTGATTACAAGATTGTTGTGTTACAAGATTGATCAATTCTGTATATTACAATTCCTATATATAGAGGAGAAGATGGTAGTGGAGTGTGTGATAGTGGAGGTGGTAGGTGTGGAGAAAAATAGTGGAGGTAGTAGGTGAGTGGTATAGTGGAGGTGGTAGGTGTGGAGAAGGATAGTGGAGGTAGTAGGTGAGTGGTAAATTCTAACAGTTGTTAAGTTTAGAAATGGTAAATACTGAATTGTAAAGCCCAGGTACAGTAAATAGTCTCAACTTGCTCTGATTTTATATCATTGTAAATTGGTTTTGCAGGATCAACTAGTCCCTGATCCAAAAACTTTTCCATCGGGAATTAAAGCTCTTGCTGACTATGTACATGAGAAAGGCCTCAAGCTTGGAATTTATTCTGATGCTGGGTAGGATGAATTTCCTAATATCGGGTCAGAAAATTAGAAGTTATATCATGACGGAATTATTGTTCTGTTTAGCTGTTGCAATCCCCTTTCTGTCTCCTGACTTATTCAACTGGATTTTGTAGGGTTTTTACATGTGAAGGTCGACCTGGATCAATTTACCATGAAAATGATGATGCACAGCTCTTTGCCTCTTGGGTTAGTTTGTGATATATCTTATCAAATATAAGTATCTTATTTCTCCAAATATATGTTGACATTGATTGCATTAAGTAAGGCTTTATCAAGGGGGCTTTTGGATTTCCTGTCCCAAGAAAGTTATTGCAAAATATTGGAATCACCACCAGCATTGATAATATAAAAATATGTATAATTTCTTGAAATTCTACAGTTATCGTCAACATGCTGTGAAATGAGCCCAATTTAAATGGTAATGAAAACACAACGGACTCATTTAAGGCATAATTTGAAACAAATTCGAGCGTTTGCTTTGTGTAAGAATTTATGTATTATTGATTGATGTTTTGATTTCTATTACAATGATTCATGATTCCTATATATAGAAGAGGGTGAGTGTGTAGTAGGTGAGGAGTAGGTGAGGAGTAGGTGAAGTAGGTGAGTGTGTAGTAGGTGGTAGTGGTAGGTGTGTAGTAGGTGAATTTTAACAGCCCCCCGCAAACTCAAGGGGGATAGGAACTAACCAACTTGAGTTTGGAGAGAGTAACAAAACAAGAAAATACATAAAAATAAAAGAGGATAGGAGACACTGTATGGTCGTGTCAGACCATTGGTGAAGACACTGGATGGTGGTGTCATAACGTTGTAGAGGACACTGTATAGGGGTGGTGCAGTCGGATGTGGAGGCCAATCAGTATACTTTGAAGGTATGTGTGGAAAGCATGACGGCGGTCACAAACTTGTCGAACCGGCTGCAGAGTAGGACAAATGAGGTGCAGCATTTAAATTCCCAGCTGGCTCTGCTCCAACGCATGTATAAGGATGCGCGAGCAGAGATAAGTGTGCTGAAAGCAGAAAATAAGGAGCTGAAGCGGAAGGCCACCGTGATGTTCCGATTTGGAGGTCCACCATATGCTGTAGTGGAGGAGCAGGGAGGAGTGATCGTGCCCAGTGGAGTGGGAAACACGGAGGCAACACCGGCAAGAGTCGCCCAGGACGGAGGTAAGAAGAAGAGACCGGTGGCAGAGTAGGTCGGTGGGTGGCTGTCTGTAGAAAAGAAAAACAAAGCTGTTGTTGTGGTGATGTTTGTGTATTTTTGTTGTTGTTGTTGTTGTTTTTTTTTTTTTTTTTTTTTTTTTTTTTTTTTTTTTTTTTTTTTTTTTTTTTTGTGTAAAATGTGGATCGGGGTTGATCCCGATATGAATAAAAGGAATTTGGTGTGCAGGTCGTCTTCGTCTGTGTTTTTTTTTTTTTTTTTTTCTTTTATCTTGATGGCCAATTTTTTTTTTTTTTTTTTTTTGTTTGAAAATAAAAAGAAAATGAAAGAAAACAAGGGATAAAGAAAATACATAAAAAAAAATTAGTAGATGGATTATATGAAAAAAAAAACATCAGTGTGGGAAATGAAAGAAAATAAAATAAATAGTTGAAAAAAGAAGAGGTGGTGGAATCTGGGGCTCGGATGTGGAGGGAAATAAAAAAATATGTAAATATATAGATAAAAATAAAAGAAAGGGGAACACACTGGAAAATATAGAGCAAAATAAATATATATATATAGATAAAGTAAAAGAAAGTTTGAGTGGGGGACAAAAAAGAAAGGGCTAAGTTGGTGAGTTGGACAGGGTGAGCTTCGGGAAAATGTGGAGCAAAATAAATATATATATATAGATAAAGTAAAAGAAAGTTGGAGTGGGGGACAAAAAAAAGAAAAGGCTAAGTTGGTGGGTTGGACAGGATGAGCTGTCTTTTTTTTATTTATTTGTTTTTTATTTATCTTTTCTGTCTCACGAAAGAATCGAGAGAGTAGTGGACTCGAAGGACTTGCAGCAGCAGAGCAAAGCCCTCGACAAGCTCACCGACCATGTCGAAGATCGTCAGCTCGATTCCACTCGCGTTCAAGAGGCTATGGCGTCGATTGGTGCAGCAAAGGAAGCTGATTTGAATGCTATGAGATTGAGGGAGAAAGAATTGGCTGCAGTTAAGATCAATGCAGCTGATGTTGACATAATTGCAAATGAACTAGAGCTGGACAAGAAGGTGGCTGAAAGAACGTTACGGGAGCACAAAGGTGAGGCTGTTGCTGCCATTCGATCCTTGCTTCAAAGCAAGACACAGAGAGAGATGAAGCTGGATGGGTTCTAGCTTCAGCTCCTGTAGAGCTTAATCCAGATTTCTTCGGTGTTGAACAGTACCTCGCAGCAAAAAGTCTTATTGCTTCGCTCTTTTCAAATAGATGATTACTATGGATTTGGGATGGTTCCACTGGCAGATCTTTTCAATCACAAAACAGGAGCTGAAGATGTGCACTTCACCTCTATATCTTCTCATCTTGCACCTGAAGATGATGCTGAAGACAACCACGAAAGCCTTCGCCACCGCGTCTGTCCCGGCAACGGAACCAAGGTATGTGTAGAGATCCGGCGGGCGGCCAAGGCGAAGTTGCCGCCCGCCGGTGAAGCAGAATTTATTATTATTATTATTATTATTATTATTATTATTATTATTATTATTATTATTATTATTATTATTATTATTATTATTATTATTATTATTATTATTATTATTATTATTATTATTATTATTATTATTATTATTATTATTATTATTATTATTATTATTATTATTATTATTATTATTATTATTATTATTATTATTATTATTATTATTATTATTATTATTATTATTATTATTACTATTTTTTTTTGTAGGAGGAAGAGTGAGATGGAAGTTTTAAAATCTAAACCAAAAATGGATCTTGTTTAACATGTTTTCTACACTGGTGTCTAAGATGTTAACTAACACAGTTTTGGCACAATTTTGGAACCAACTGCACTATATTTTTGCTTGCAATTATCTTAACAGTAAATGTTGGCAAAAATGTAAGATGCATTAGAAGCTTTATCATTATGCCATGGGGGCAAATAAAGTTTTTAATTGGTATTTAAATTAGGATTTTTATTTTTTTATTTATTTTTTAAAGTTTGGCTTGGTTATTTGTGATTATGGAGATCAATTTGATTTCTTTTTTTATGAAGACAATGAGAAGTAGAGAAGGAAGAATAAGGGTTTGTCTTTTTATCACTACCGTTAATGGAGTTAGTGTTGCAATTTAGTCTAAAATCACATGGAGGGACATGTGACTATTTTTAGAAGAAAAGGGAGTAAAAGTACTCTGGGCCGCTGCCACAAGTGATAAAATGGATTTTGCCCTATATATATATATATATAATGAGACAAAGAATGACCTCACGAATGAATAATTAATCATCTACACGTCTTTTATTTATCTAGGTGAAGGAAAGGAGGCCCAGGCTCCCAGTTTCAGCAACTGTACAAGGACATATTGGACACTACCCATGGACCATTATCTTATTGACTTATTACTGGACCAGGTGCTAAGAGGGAATAAAATTGGGCATGCATTCATAACTCAGGCTTGGAATGTAATGGTGAAGTCATTCAATTCAAAATTTGGATCTTACTATGACAAAGAGGTCTTGAAAAGTCGCTATAAACATTTGAGGGAGCAATATAATGACTTAAAGATTCTTCTTGATCACAATGGGTTTTCTTGGGATGAAACCCAAGAAATGGTTACTGCTGAAGAGTATGTTTGGGACTCTTATACCAAGGTGAACCACCATTCACATGCTTCTTGTTACTGAGTTGTGTTTTGTTTGATAGTTCATTGCTTATGTTTTACAGTGCAGGCATATCCTGATGCTCAATTGTATAAATTTAAAACTGCCCCAAGCTTCCACAAATTATGTGTCATATATGGCGAGGAAGGTTCGAATGGAAAACCTAGCAATATGGCTCACAGTGAAGACCTCGATGGTATAGACCCAGTTTTGATGGTTGTTAATTGGCATCTTGTTATTCTCTGATACTGAACATATTGCTTATATCGTCTGAATTATTAACAAATCTCACAAAAGGCATTTTTTTTGCGGGGTTCAGGAAAAAGAAGGAAATGTTGCCATAGTTTTTCCATACTTCTCAAACACTGGCTCCTCAACCACATCTAATGCTGAATTACCAATTTTTTAACTAAGTTGAAAATCTATTGGCTAAATGAAGCTAATTCATGTAACTTTGGCTTGGGTCCGTTAGGCAAGTTAGTTTCGGGCTATTTTAGCCACAAAATACAAAATATGCTATTTTAGCCATAACAAACAAAACATCACATCCAACCCATAATTATTACACTCTTCTCTCACAAAAAAAGTCAAAAGGCCCTTCCCAAAAGTTTTTTAGCCTAGGCTAAAATAGCCAAAAAAGCTAAAAAGCCAACCCACTTTCCAAACGGAAGCCTTGTATGATTGGCAGTAGGTGCATGCCTGCAATCATTGTGAATTAAATTGATCTATCATTGTATTTTCATATCAAAGTCTCTGATTCAAAAAGAAAGGACATTTTTGTAATGCAGATAGTGATTGTTCAAGGACAGGTTGGACACCTTCAATGGACCGCTGTCTCATTGACCTTCTGTTAAAGCAAGTGCATAAAGGGCAAATCATTAATCACATATTCGACGAACAAGTATGGATAGATATTGTGGCAGCATTCAATGATAGATTTGGATCACAGCATGACAAATATGTTTTGAAGGGTCAGTATAAAAGTTTGAAGAAGTTATATCAGATGTGAAGAATCTGCTTGAACTGGGTGAATTTTCTTGGGATGAATCAAGGCAAATGGTCACAGGACCTGATGATGTTTGGGATGCTTATACCAAGGTGAATTGCTTGTTCCTTTGGGTCTTACTCTTACATGTGAGTTCCAATTGCTAGTGGCTTACATATGTTGTTTATAGGAGAACCCAGATGGAACATCATTCAGAACAAAAACAATGCCAAATTATAATGATTTATGCTTGGTTTACGGAAATTTGACTTCTGAAGGAAGATGGAACCAATTAGATCCGTATGTGGGCTTCAATGGTGATGGTTAGTTTGTATTCTGATGCGATTTAAGGAATTATTATTATTATTATTATTATTATTATTTTATCACTATTGTGTCAACTTGATTTAGTGAAAAATGTTCTCAGGGTTGGACAACTTTGGAACCTGTGAGTAATAATTTAAATTGCATAGACTGCCCTAAATGAATGATGCATGATGCATATAGTTTTTCTTTGTGAAATAAAAGTTCAATGGGTTTTGATGAATATATTCTATTATTGTTATCTCATGTTCTTCTTTAATTTGTTGAAGGAAGGGATTTTCAAGCATCCCAAAATGGCAGTTGTTTGAGGTCTGGTTGGACAGCACCTATGGACCGATATTTTATCGATTTAATGCTAGAGCAGATCCGTAAAGGGAATATGATTGATCAAAATTTCAACAAACAAGCTTGGGGTGATATGGTGGCGAAGTTTGTCGCAAAATTTGGGTCTCAGCACCACAAAGATGTTCTAGAAAGTCGTTTTGAGAAAATGAGGAATCTATTCCATGATATGAGAACTCTTATTGATCAGAGTGGGTTTGCATGGGATGAAATGCAACAGATGGTGACGGCTAGTGATGATATCTGGGATGCTTTTATCAAGGTGCATATTTCAGTATAGTTCTCTAATAACATTCATAACATGTAAGATTTTAGTGTGCAGTAGCTTACATTCTTCATAACCAGGAGCGTCCTGATGCACAATCATTCCGAAGTAGAACTCTCCCAAACTATAATGATTTGTTTCTGATATATGGAAATACAAGCACTAATGGAAGGAGTGACCATGCAAGTCATTGTACCAATCTTGATGATGGTGCCCTAAAAGTAAACATTTGTGAGCTCTCTCTCTCTCCTTGCTTGATTTGTGTGAACCACAACTGTTGTCTTTATATTGACCATGACGAGAATGGTGGCAATGATCATAAATATGGACTATAGCTGTGTCTTTATGCTTTAAGCACAAGTGTGATTATTGTTTATTTGCCAGTATGATTGATCTAATTGTTTATCTTGGAAGCTGCATGTGAATGATATATATATATAATATTGGTATCACAATGTCTTTCTAATCTTAGTAATGTGATTGGTTATGCTGTATTTATTTGGAATTTATTACATAGTTGAGTGATGAGCAAAGCGAATTGATCTCATCTAAGCAGCACAGACACGGGGCATGGTTATTTCAAAAAAATGGAGATACGGATACGGCAACAACACGACAATAAAATAATTTTTCATATATTTTAATTTCCTATGTAAATTAATATTACATCCACAAACCATTAAAATTAACAAAAATTAATTCTTTTTTATAGATGATCTATTAAGTATTTAAATCTAAGCAAAAAAAAAAAAAATCCAACATCCATCAAAAGCACTAAAGAATGGGGAGAAAAAAACTAGTTGGTGTATCCCCGGCGTAATTCATGAAAAAAAAAGAATTAAAGGGACACGCCATGTGGCGTGTTCCATACATGTCCCCACCATGTCCCCGCCGTTTCCTCATGTCGGTTATGACTATGACACTTATTTTGAAGTGTTGGTACTTCATAATATCCCATCTAGACTTTTTTGGATTTCGTAAAGAATTTGGAATCTTTTAGCTCTATAGGCGCATAGAGTTTTGTTCTATAAATTGTGTGTACTCGAGTTGTTTCATCTTTTCATGATATTCTATTTACTGATATTCCCTCCCTTTCTTTCCGTGCATGAAAAAAAAAAGGTAAAACGAAAATAAAGAAAGAAAAAAAGAATTCCACAGGATGTAGGAAAAATGGACTTATCTATATTGCTATATTATGCATAATGCAAATATTCATGGTATCCAAGGCACCTATATGGCGTCTTGTGACTGATTGTTTTCTCAATGTGTAGATCAGGAAGATGACCAATCCTCTTCTGGTAGTGATACTTCGAGCATTGCTTGGACAAAGCCAGTGGACAGATATTTCATTGACCTCATGTTAGGACAGGTGTTTGAAGGGAATAGAGTTGAAAATACCTTCAATAAGCAAGCTTGGGTCTGCATGATCACATCATTCAATGAGAAATTTGGACTTCAGTTTGACAAATGTGTACTGGAAAATCGGTACCTAAGCTTGATGAAACAGTATGATGACATCAGCACTCTTCTCAACAAGAATGGTTTTGCATGGGACGAAATAGAACAAAAAGTCACAGCTGACGATGATTATTGGGAAGCTTATATTGAGGTGAATTTCTTTCTTGTGCATGACTGAATCGGCAAATCAAAGGCTGTTTCCTCGTTTTATTGTTCATGTAATTATTAATGACTTCAACTCAAAATAGCATGGACCTTAGTTGCAGGAAGCGGTTTTGGGAGAGTTAGGGAATATAGTTTCTAAGGTTGGGAGTGCCTATGGGAGCATATATATTTTATATATTGAATAGATTTTAACAATTTTTTCTTTTTTTCTTTTTTTCTTTTTTTCCCCTCTCCCTACATAGTTGTGATATGTGTTAAAATATGAATAAACATTAAAGATGGATGTCAACTACAAATTATCTTTGTTAAGTATAAGTAAATATCTAAATAGGAACTACTAAGCTTGAGTTGTTTTTCTTTTATTTATGTGAGATTTATATGTTTGAGAGGTTTTATCTTAGCTGGGTTCGAGTTTCTGACAAGTTTTTTACTTGGGGAGTGCGGAATCACGTTTGTAAGTATGAACGTAACCCAAGTACAACTTTCCTGCTACTATGACATGGACCTTGTATATTATTTGAAAAGTACCTTTATTCGATGAATTGCTGATAATGCACCATCTAACAGTGCTTTATTAATATTTTGCTTAACTTCTATAACTTGCGCCTCGCTTTGGTGAGGCGTGTGCCTCGCCTCGCGCCTCGGGGCTTAGGCTCCAGGTGACCTTGGCGCCTCGATGCACCTAGGGCTTTTTAAAACACTGGGACTTTGTATATTATTTGAAAAGTACCTTTACTTTTGATGAATTGCTGATAATGCACCATCTAACAAAGAGTGATTTACTGATGCCAGTTCTGTGTAGTAGGGTATTGGAAACACCCATTCCAATTGCTTGGACTTTACGTTCTTAATTGATAGCTAATTTGTCACCGTGATGATTTGCAGGAACATCCCGATGCTGTAGCATACAAAGATATAATATTGGAGAATTACTGTGATCTGAGCATTATTTTTGGAGATGAGATCCATGATGGAACGTCAAGTTATCTGTGCCCAGAAATGAATATTGATGATAATGCCCTGGAAATGGGGATGGATGGCATATTTGGAGCTCTGAAGTCCCCAGCTATTGATAATGAAGTGTCTAATGGGAGAAAAAGACGCCAATCCACCACACCGTTAAGTTCAACACGTGGGAGAAAAATCAAGAAAACCAGGGAGGAGTTGCAAGAAGCAGGTAGAAGTAATACAGTGGACAGGAACTATAGCTCAATAGAAAGCATTGTTGATGCACTTCAAGCTGTACCTGACATGGATGATGAACTCTTCTTGGATGCTTGTGATCTTTTGGAAGATGAGAATAAAGCGAAGGCGTTTGTGAAGATGGACATCCTGCATCGAAAGAAGTGGTTGTCACGAAATCTCCGTGCATAATTTGGGTTACTGTTTTTGGTTATCTGAAGTGTAGATATGATCATAATGTGTATATGAAGTATTAAGACACAATGTACAAGAGGAAACAGTTTTCAATCAGCTTCCCATTCCTTTCTATCCTCTTCAATATCCACAGTTTCACTTGATGTTCAAATTGGTAGAAGAAGAATGAGTTCACCTTCTTGTTGATTCCTACTTTTTCTTTGCGTGTGTATACTTTGTGCAAGTGCACGTTGTTTTCAATCGGCAATGGGCTACACAACAATATGTGACTAACCTTCTGATCATAACTCTCCTAATCTGGATGAAGGAGCTAGAATCCAGAAGAGGGATGTGTCTCAAATGACCATGAAATTAGTTTTTGATATTCTTGCATTTTGAAATTTTTATATGATTTAACAGTTATGAATATTTTGAAAGAGAAATTTTGGAACAAAACCATAGTATACTAAGGGACTTTTCATTAGTTAGATTCATAATCATGAAATTATGTTTTGATAGTTTTGTGCTTTAAAATTTTTCTATGATTTAACAGCTAAGAATATTTTGAGACAGAAAAGAGAGATTTTGGGACAAAACTGTTTGTCTACTAAGGTTTTGTTTGGGAAGTTAGATATTTTAGTTAGCTATTTGATTTTTTAGTTTACTAAAATAGTTGTGTTTGAGAAGTTGGTTTTTTTTTATTATTTTTTTTAGTTGATTTGATAATTGTGAGAAAAAAAGTGAAATGATTAAGAGTTAGATGTGATTTTTTTTTATTGATTATTTTAGCTTATTTTGTCTTTTAATAGACTACTTTAGTCCAACTTTCTTCCCAAACACTCCTTAAGAGACTTTATTAGTTAGACTAATAACACCATCAATTTTCACAAATTTCTATAATAATGAATTAAAATTCTGAAAATATGTATATATATGTATATGTTGTTAATAGTATGGTTTTAGTAAATTCCAAATTCATTTGTTACAAGACCAGTGCAAATGAGTGCTCATTGTTGGTTGCTATATAGAAGACGATGTACTATGATTAACAGTAAAAAAATGTGGAAGTAATCCTAATGAATACTGTCATAAATATGAAGTCAGACATAATAGTATATTTTGTAAGCCCAAATAATGGAAACATCTTAATTAATGTCATTCAAAAGTTTATTACATTAATTTGTCATTACAAAAGAACAAATAAATAAATAACTAAAAAATAATATTTTTATGTACTAGAAGAAATAAATGAAATGAAATGAATGATAAATTTTCTTAATCCATGCAGATGTTTAGCACTTCAGCTCACTCTAATCAAGTGCACTGTCACACTGTGAATTATGATGGTATTGTTTGGTAATGTTTAAAATTTACTGTGCAAATTACAAAAAAAAAAACTCAGGCTTTAGCGTGTTTTTCACATTAAATCTTAACATTTTAATTTTAATAATTTAAACCCTGAATTTTTAATCGTGCATCAATGTTGACCCTCCGTCTATTTCCGTTTGTTTCTGTTAATTTTTTACATTTATTTGATACACGTGTCACTTTTTAATTCGTCTATAATTATTATAATTATTTTATTTCTAAATCACTTCTTTTTTTCTTTCTTTTTTTTCTGTCAACTCTTTCTCTCTCTTTCTCTTTCAGGATGAACGATTGCCGACCTCTGGATCGCTGATTTTTAAAAGGCAACCAAACCATTTCTCATGAAAACCACCTCTCCTTCACTTTGGATCGCCGAAGGTCATGACGGCTGCGAATTTTTCCTAGGGTTCCGATGAGTTAGGGTTTGAATGGCCTCTGAAGATGTGGTAGCGAAGATGAGTGGGACTGCGGTGTCGACAATTGTCAATCTGGCTGAGGAAGCGAAGATTGCTAGAGAAGGAGTCAAGGCTCCAAGTCACGCGTTCTTAAGCATTTGCAAGTCTTTCGTCGCTAGCGGTGTCGTCGAAGGAGTGTCAGTTCTTACTCTCCTCTTTTCGAATTTTTTTCGTTTTCAATTTCATCGTAATGTAGTTAGGAGTGGTTGCAGATCAGATTTATGCGGTTTGCAGTTTGTGCGGATAGGGTTCGCAGATGTGCGGACGGTTGTGGGCGGTTTGTGGATTGGACTTTTTTCTTCAAAAATTTATTTTTGAGCCTTATTTTTTTCCCATTTTGTAAATATTTATTTTGGGCCCTTTTCTACCCATTTTCTAAAATGCTCCAACATTAATAATTAATGAATTAAAACTTATAAAATTAAAAACACAATAAAATTAATTCGTAACACAAACAAATCATTTAAAATCTTAAATCAAATCATAAACTAACACAAGTACATATTTTAAAATCCTAAACTATAACGGCATATTCATTAAGGAATTTAAAATTCCAAATCACACTTCATTCGGGACAAGTTCAATTATGTAACAATAATAATATGATCAGTATTTATTTAGTTTCAGTTGATATAATATTATTAGCAAATGTAATGCTAGAGTAAGTTTAAAGAATTGTACGGGGAGCAAATATTCCGACAAGCTCGTACTCCTTTCTTCCAAGCTCTTGCCTGTCCGATCGACCTGCGAGCACAACGGCGGTGAGCTACCCGGCGGTGTGTGGCCGGAATACCCCTCCGACGATCAAGTTAGACACACACAGGGATAGAGAGAGAGAGAGAGAGAGAGAGGAAGTGCAACTTTCTCTATCATTTTTTGGACTAACTCGGACCCAAAATTGGCGTATCACCCACCTCGGCCTAACACATAAGAGACCTACACGGTCAGCCATACAAGGCCTCAAACGGTGCCATACCAATACTCGACTGGAAATTGTTGTTATAGGCAAACTCCACTAAGGGTAAGTGCCTCTCCCAGGACCCCTTAAAGTCAAGGAAACTGTTGTTATACGCTCAGACTACCCGTCAGTCTGAGGATGATGGGCGGTACTGAAAGTCAACTTAGTGCCCAAGGCATTTTGTAGGCTCTGCTATAATCGAGACATAAAATACGGATCTCTATCCAAGACAATAGTCACAGGGACCCATGAAGTCGAACAATGTCCCTGATGTAAAGGTCAGCTAGATAATCTACCGAGTCACTCGTGTGCATAGGTACAAAGTGTGCTGACTTGGTCAATCGGTCAACTACCACCCAAATGGCATCATTATCCCATTGAGTCCTCGGAAGACCCACAACAAAATCCATCGTGACATGCTCTCACTTCCGCTCGGCTATAGGCAAGGGTTGCAACAAACCTGCTGGCTTCTAGTGCTCGGCCTTCACTTGTTAACAAGCAAGGCACTTTGATACAAACATGGTTACATCCTTCTTTATACCTCTCCACCAAAACTGGTGAGCAAGGTCACGATACATCTTTGTGCCTCCTGGGTGCACCGCAAGACGTAAGTGGTGAAACTCTCAGAATACTTCCTCTCGGCAAGACTTTGGCTCGAAAAGACGATCAAGGTATCTAACACTTGAGTCAAAGTACATGTTCAAGCCTCTTTCTACCTTCCTGCTGGAGATTTTCTCTCGAAGGGTTTTTATCTTAAGGTCACCCCTCTGTGCGTCTATAACTCAGTTCACAAGCGTAGCTTGTGTAACTACTGAAAACAAAGCTGCCGACCAATGGACTCGCCAAGATGCAAGTCAAACTCTCCAATAGCACCCAACATCTCCCATTGCCAATGGATTTCCTACTCAAGGCATCGGCCATAACATTGGCCTTCCCCAGATGATAATGCAACTGAAAGTCATAATCTTCTATAAACTCCATCCATTTCCTTTGCCTTAAATTCAAGTCATTCTGTGCAAACAGGTATTTCAGACTCTTGTGATCAGAAAATGCTTCAATCTTCTTACCATACAAATAATGCCTCCAAATCTTCAAGGCAAAGATCACTGGTGCTAACTCTAGGTCATGAGTAGGGTGTTCTTCTTATGTGTTTTCAACTACCGCGAGCCATAAGCTACTACTTTCCTCTCTTGCATCAATACACAACCCAAACCTTCCCGCAAAGCATCGCAATACACCGAACAACCTAAACCCCTCTCTAGAATAATCAATGCTAGAGCAGTGGTAAGTCTAACCTTAAGCTCTTGAAATGACTTCTCACAGGTCTTGTCCACACAAACTTAATTCCTTTCCTCGTCAATCTATTCAATAGTGAAGCTAATCTAGAATAATCTTTCATAAACCAACGGTAATACCCGGCCAACCCCAAGAAACTATGGGTCTCAAAGGCATTCTTAGGTTGTTCCCAATTTTGTACGGCTTCTATCTTAGATGAATCTACAGTCACTCCTTCTTGGGATACTACGTAGCCTAAGAACTTAATTTCTTTCAACCAGAATTCACACTTCCCAAACTTAGCGTACAGTTTTTGGGCTCTAAGCAACTCGAGCACAACTCGCAAGTGTTCCTCATGTTTCTCCTCGAAGGGTGATCAAAGATGACCATAAAGCGATCTAAGAACTCACAGAAGATTCGGTTCATCAAGTCCATAAACATGGTTGGTGTATTGGTTAGCCCAAAAGGCATCACTAGGAACTCATAATGGTCATACCGCGTACGGAATACCGTCTTTTGGATATCCTCCTCTCTTACCCTCAACTAGTGGTAACCTGACCTCAACTCTATCTTAGTGAAACAGTTGGAACCCTTCAACTAGTCAAACAAATCATCTATGTGTGGCATTAGGTACTTGTTCATAACAGTTACCCGGTTCAACTTCCGGTAATCAATACAAAGTCGTAATGCACCATTTTTCTTCTTGGCAAAGAGAGCCAGTGCTCCCCAAGGCGAAGTACTAGGGCGAATAAAACATTTATCTAATAATTCCTGGAATTGAATCTTCAACTCACTCAACTTGGCAGGTACAAACTTATATAGTGCCATAAAAATCGTTACCGTGCTAGGCACTAACTCAATGGAGAAACTCGATCTCACGATAAGGTGATAAACTGGTGAGATCCTCAGGAAAACATCTGGTATTCATAAACTACCCTTGGAAAATCAACTCGGACTTCATCACACTCACTGTCCAAGAAGTTTGCAAGAAGACAATTAAACTCACTCTGACCACGAGGATCATACACAGGTGATAAAACTCTATTGGGTTTGTCCCCCATGAAATAAAAACAATCACTGCTCAAGGTACATACAGTAACCCTCTAACGGTAACAATCTATAACAGCCTGATACGACGACAACCAATCTATACCCAATATAGCATCAAAACTCAACATGTCAATCAACACAAATGCAAAACGAAGTCGGCGACTGGCAACGTCTATG